GGGGGGGGGGGGGGGGGTGTAAGTGAATTTTGTGAGTTATCAAGGGAAATTTTGCGGAGTCACAAATTTTCCGGACGACATATTTTTCAATCTTATTTTGTGTTTAACCACCGTTCTTCGCTCCATTTTCCCCCAATTTAGTTTTCGTTAATTTCTCCACATTTTAGCTATATCATTCTTAATTTTTAATCGGTTCCGCTCGACTATTTTTTTTTCTTCCTATTCAAATCTATGTTTTTCCGACTGGGATTCATATTTTTGTTTACGACTACCTGATGACGTAGGGGGAGCGGGGTGGGGGGTGTTAATTACACTGCCGGCCCTGACCAAGCATGATTTAATTGCAGACTACAGTATGTTATCTCATTTGCATGGGTGTTCATTATTGGTTTTGTAAATCAGCAAAAAAAGAGTTATGTTGGTTTAAATGTAGTTTCATTAATATTACTTCATGAAGTGCTAGCTATACCGTCGTTTTTGATTTACTGACATTGTTTTCTACAGTATTTCAAAACCAAGTACGAAAAATCGTTAAACAATTTTTGTGATATAATACTATCTTCGGTTCATCAAGCGCTAATCAAACGAGGATGAGAGTTGCAACTCGTGACTCTTGTGACTCTTGTTTTTGTTTGACCGGGGCATGATAGTTGAGAAAACTCTGATGACTGATGCAAACTCTCGCTTGTCAACCCAGTCATCAATTTGTATCCTCCTTTGCCCGAGTTTTAATTTCGAAATCACTCCCTTTGTGTACTTTGATGTTTAATGAATTTCAAATGAATTAATTCTCCAAGATGAGCTTAATTGAAGAAGAACATTATATTCACATAGCTATAGTACAGGTAAACACACTTCAGATGTCAAATTTCATTTATATTGCGACATTATCCATACAACATACAATCCTATATGGTCAAGTAATTCTGGACGTTTAGTAAGATCGTGCAATATAACGTAACAAACATGATGCATTATTATATACAGATTTATTTTAGCAATTCGAAAAAGATCATTGTAAGTAGTCAACTCGTGCTACAGAATAACCAGGAAGATTTGCCCTGGTCAACTTCCAAACGTTTTTCATCGTACTCACAAGCTGGGTCATTGTTATTCAGTTACATTTGTGACGTGGCATGCACGTTAATGTCCATGCAAGTAAATTGATTATAAATCGAAGTATATAGTGTACATGTGTTTCTTAGTTGGGGAAGAGGGATTCGTCGAGTGGGTGCTTCGAACCCGCAACCTTCGAAACTGTACCTCTTCTGTATATATCAACATCGTATATATGTATATCTTGACTTAAAACATCATAATATATAACTTAACAAGAACTCTTAAGCCTGTTTTATACGTCGAATTTCAGTCCCGTCGAATGCAGTGAAGACGATAGATAATAAGATGATAAACCTCATTAAGCTTCATTATCTATTGTTTGAATTGCATTCGACGCGACCGAAATTCGACGTATAAAACAGGTCTTACCTAGCAGACACACAGAAAAACAATCTCACAAATAGGGATAAAAGGACTGGGTCAAACATTAGTCATTAGGTTTAGAATATAAGCTATACAAAGGGTGTAAAGTTGATTATGGATCATGTCTTCTCTTCTTTCAATCCGCCATATTGAATTCGACTAAGAGTAAATGTGTTGTGTCAGACGAGATACACATGTATCACTGAATAGTTTTAGCAACGAGAAAGATGTATTTCCTTGTTGGTCTACACATAAAAAAGGTTGGCATTTTCTAAAACCCCGAATAAAAGAACGACGCGAAACAATATTCCAATTATCTTTTCTATTCTTTTAAATTTAGACTCTAGTGCAACATTTTTGTAAAACTCTATACTTCCACTTTAAACTGACTGACAAACAAACTTTTATTGAAGTTTATATAAAGTTCGATATTTTATCTATATAAGAAGCCCCCCATATTGATTATTAAGATATAATACTAACTTTGAATATATCGCAGGTGCAGGTATATAGTGAATAGACAGGGACCTGCACTTAAGGGTGCACATATATTGCTAGCATGCAATAATTATGTCCTATAAATTCTACTTTTGTGTTAAACTATTTTTGATTGTATACTTTTACCATGCAAAGACGCGTTCTATATATTACTTATCGTATGTTTTGCTATGTGATAACGTTTCAGTTTATGTATTATTCCTCAAAGTCCGCTCTTCTATCCTAACCCCAACATCGCGATTTTCCCAGTGTATGGTACCCTTTCTCAATACTGAATGAATGAATGAACAACTTTATTTAAAGAGGGTAAAAACACATTATGACAACAATATAACTGAAGAACCACCAAGTAGCGTCACCGGTATCTCCAAATCTCAGCTCAGTAACAGGCAGTGTGTTCTTGTCATTCTTGTCACAATTACATTTTCCTCCACCTGCACAGCTGTTGGTCATTCCACATGCACATTTTCCACTGTTGACTGCCGCTCCACCCCAGTACTTCATCTTTGTACCTTGACGTGATACCCACCAACCATAAGGTGTAGAGAACCACATACCGCTACCATAACATTCATATTTTATAAACTGCTCACAATTCTTGGACTGCTTCATAATGGCAAGGATCTGCTCCATCGAAATTACGATATTTAATCTTTCGTCTGTAAGAACCTGCGGGATTATATCCCTTCACAAGTTCTCTTGATCCACTGTCATGTCCAATCCCTGTCACACCAACACCATTCTTTGACGTCATATCACAATATACTTGAACCAATGGCGATGAACTGAGTCCTTGCGGATTAATATAATACATTCCACTGCGTGTTGAAGGATGTTTTATTAACGAATAATTAATGGATGTTTTAACTGTCAATACGCTTCACAATATCTGTAAAACATAATAATTTTTCGTTTGTTTTGAAAGCTGTTAAACTCAAAAATGATTCCTGAGACGCGCACGCCTAATACTATTCTGGGTACATAAGGGTAGATTTGAATATCAACAGACAAATATTATAGGGAGTTTACGATCGGCGACGCGGCCGGCTCAACGATGCGGTCTAAATTTTCTACTGTAATAAATATTTGACTCTTTCAAATAACCTTACAAAATGCTACGTTCGGCTAAAGCGATGCATTATTTGCTGTAATTTCGACTTTTAGTAACACCTCTTGTGTCGCATTAAGCTTTCGCGTTGCCTGAAAGACGTAATAAGGCTTTTTTAACGTTGTGTTGAGAATGACAACGCGGTTGACAATACCATGAGGGACCACAAATTATTGACAGTTTTTGTCTTGCATGACAAATTTCTTTGTAAGTTCTGTGTAGGTTTGCATACATATTATTTATTTATGTCAAAAATCCTGGTTTCTGATTGGCTAACAGCCAACTGTGAAATTGTCATTTCAACTCAATGCTAACCAAATACGGATTTTTCACATTCACATTAGCAAAATGACGTCGATGAGTCAATATGAAAAAAATTTGGACGCGTTTGCGCCATATTACTATGACGACGAGAATCATATTGCTCGCTGACGCCATTGATATGACGACGACGTACGACGGCTGCCGAAGGACTAAGGAATTATTTTTTTCTTAATACAAATAAAATACAAATGTTTGTTTTGAATTTTTTAAATAAATAATAAAACAATTATAGAATTCGGTTTTCGCACAATATGAAGAATTATCAAGCCCTCGATTTGCCGTTATCAACCTCACCCTTCGGCTTCGGTAATAACGGCAAACTTCGGGCTTGATAATTCTTCATATCGTGCTCAACCTCATTCAATAATTGTTAATTATTATAAAGTTGTGTTTTGACATTCAATCAAATGAGTGAATAAATCACATGCATATTTCGCATGCATGTGTTTCATGGATGCAAGTGTCTATGCATTTGTTTCTGCATAAATTGTTCATACATGCAGCAAAGATGGTAACGTGCGACTCGTTGCGTCGCAGGTTACAAAGAAGGGCGCTCGCTATATTCTGGTAAAAAATCTCATGGGGTGAGGTCAATTCTTATAGCTCTAAATGCGGATTTCCTTTCAGTGCAAAACGTCGCGCGATCGACATTTTGCGATCACTGTCTTTTGAAATACAAACAATCAAACGCAATGGATGAGGTTGACTGAACACATTTCAAAAGAAAGTGATTGCAAAAAGTTGATCTCGCGACATTTTGCACTGAATGGAAATCGGCCTTTCTGCAATCCCAAGTAAAGGAACGACTCAAAAAATATTCTGATTATTCACTTTTGTTCTTTTAAATTTATACTCCAGTGCAATATTTTTCATTCATTCTACTTAAACATAAAACAGACTTCCTATTTTTAAGTTTATATATACTTTATTTTGATGTGATAGCTATAAAATCTCCATATTGATTATTAAGTATAGTCACGAATAGTCGCTATAGTCACTATGGTCAGAAAGGTAACCACACACAGTGCGCATATTGTTCGCGATAATTATGTCCTATCAGTTCTACCTTTGTGTTAAACTATTTTTGATTGACACTTTTACCAAAGTCTCCTTCTACATTACGTATCCCTCAAAATCCGCTCTTTTATCCTAACCCCAACATCGCAATTTTCCCAGTGTGTAGTATCCTTTCTCATAGCTAGGGTCACCGGCATCTCCAAATCTCAGCTCAGTAACAGGCAGTGTGTTCTTGTCAGTCAGATATCCACTGTCTTCACGCCATGTCTGGTCATTCTTGTCACAATTACATTTCCATCCACCTGCACAGCTGTTGGTCATTCCACATGCACATTTTCCACTGTTGACTGCCGCTCCGCCCCAGTAATTCATCTGTGAACCCTGACGTGATACCCACCAACCTAGATATGTACCTGCAGAATAGAACCTAAATACGCTACCATAACATTCATATTTTATAAATTGCTCACATCTTTTGGACTGCTTAATAATTGCAGTAATATGTTCCATGGAAATATCATATTTAATATTTCGTCTGTAAGAACCTGCATAATCATATCCCTTCACAAGTGTTCTTGATCCACTGTTATGTCCAATCACCGTCACACCAACACCATTCTTTGACGTCATATCGCAGTATACGTGAAACAATGGCGATACGCGGAATCCTTGGGGATTGATATAATACATTCCACTGCGTGTTGAAGGATGTTCTATTAACAAAGCTGAACAAAACGTTGGTGGATGTAACTCGTCAATATGCTTCACAATATCTGAAAAACATAATAATTTTTCATTTGTTTTCAAAGCTGTTAATAGCGCCCGCCTAATACTATTCTGGGTACGGAAGGGTAGATGTGGATATCAATAGACACTTCCCGAATTTGCTTGAGTGCATGCACACGAAACAATAGCTTGAAATCAAGGCGGGCAATGTAATCCATTAAAATAAGCAGTCTTTATTGCCAGCCAGCAAATTCTGGAAGTGTCTTTGTGAAGTTAATTTACTATATGTTTATGCAAGCAAAAACGCAAGAATAATTTGCAAGCCGCAGCGATAAAACGGCATTATAGCAAGGGTTTGGCGAGAGTCTAGTACACTTTTCCTGATCTTAATAATATACATAAAGATATTACTCGACTGTGATTGGTTGATTTCAGTGCAGTTAATCCCAAACACCAGTGCAATTTTCTGTAATCACAGTGCAATTTTCTGTAATCAGTGATCACAGTGCAAAAATCTGTAACAAACTGATCTGATTGGTGGAAAAACATTGTGATGATTAAATCAACCAATCAGTTTAAAGCAGATTAGTTTAAAGAAGTAACGGTCACAGATTGCTTCAAAACAAAACAAAACAAAACAAAACAAAACAAAACAAACATGGCGACATGGCGCCGCGCTACATGAAATGAAAGTTGACTTCGGATGAAAAATATGCCGGCTTTTATCTTTTTTTTTTTAAATGGAAAAGCCATTGCCTTAAACAAGACTAACAAAACGTGTATAGTTGAGTGGAATTTTCAAGCTGTTAGCGTTTTATATAGAGGATATTACACGGTGGCGCGAAGATATGACTTTTATTTTCGAGTGGTGAAAACAAAATTTAACGAACGAGCGCAGCAAGTGAGTAAAATATTGTTTTTAACACGAGAAGGTAAAAGTCATATCTTCAAGCCACCGTGTAATGTTCTGTTTATTATATAGTCCCATGCCAACCTCGTTCCCAGGCTCTTTGCTCTTGGAAAGCAAAGACCCTGGTCGGGGCTGATGACGTCACACATACAAAATTGATAGCCGAAGGGGGGGATGGAAAAGTCTCATATTACATGTTTCCACTTCCGCACTTCGCACTTCGATTGCAAGGAGTGGCCGTTCTGTACAATCATCTAATTCATCTTCGAGAATCATATATACCTCAAACTACTTGCTAAATTGGTTTCTGTTTGCTTTTAAATTATTGAAACATGCTAAAATGCAGATTCTTATAGCAACAGAAAATTCAGGAAATCAAGCAACGATAACGTATGACTGTACGCTTTGAAATATTTTTATTTTCTCGGAGTTCGCCGGTTCGGGCGTAGTTTCATTTCACGCGTACGTTTCTGTTCTGGCTCTGATATTTATAATATGCTTATAATATGCCAATGAATTGTTCTGATATGGACACGGTATAAATTTTTTTAAACAGATGTCTCAAAAGCGACTGTTTATAGGTCGTAGGATTAGCGCCTTGCCGGTCTTAAACGTGACACATTTGGACACAAGCCAAATATACATTGAATGTCCATTTTATTGATTCTAAAACTGTTTATAGACATATTGCTCTAGATTTTTTTAAAAGGTTATCATCGTTTATGTTAAACACCAGGAAGACAAAATATAACGTACAAAATTGTTTGAAATCGACAGTGCACAGCTGACATACGACAATTCACAACTGCATGAATTTCCTTTTTTGTCGATCTGCACGAGTACCTGTTTGTTGAAGCCAAAATATTGCACAGCATCTCCTATAAATTCTATCGCCATTTACCCTCTCCCCTTAAATGCAAAGGAATGACAGCAGAAAAGGTTTAGCAAAGTATTTTTTATTACATCTGGTATAAAGTGTCCTACGTTTTATCAGGATATACATAATTCATAAATTGTATATGCACACGAAGTCTCGCTTATATTAATGAGTTTTACTGTAACAAACCTTTTAAAGTTTTCATGGATAGATAGGTTGTTTGCCTCCAGTATTGTTTGGTAAAACAGACTAAACTTCTAAAATATTGGTTACGGAATACGATAAAGATTAAAGTTGATTTAAAAATTGATTTAAACTCAGAGCGGCATTAATCCATTATACAAGTCTAAAGAAGCTGGATTATTCTTCAATAAAGCCCTCAATGGACAATGCCAATGTCAATGAAAGGTCTAATATTATACATGTTGCAAATTACTGTATACACAAAATATGAAATAATTTATATAAAGTACAATACCAGTGTCTGGTGCATATATCGTCGTAGATATTCAAGTTGTACCGCACGCACGGAAACGCACGGAGGAGTCTTGGCGTTTGTGTGATAACAGATAGCTAGCTACACTTCGACATTATCTTTCTTGATTGTTGAGTTTCAGCAATGTAAATGAAATGAATCCTGTGCTTTTATACAGTCAAAATAGCACTATTGTTTACACATGTTGGCGATGTTTGGGAAATCAAAGGATCCCGTTATAAAATAAATCTTTTGTTTTGAATATCGGACAGGATACACTTCCAACTATAAAGAACCATATCGTTCGTTTAATACCGTTTGATCGATCAGTCTGTGTAGAAGATATGTATGTTTCTACGGCGATACGTGCTAAACTTCGCAAGCCAGGCGCGTGTGGAGTGTTTTCCTTCCAAGTGAAATATGATCCAGCTTCTCGCTTGAAATGTAACGCAACACTTATTGTTGATGACATTCAGTACAGCAGGAAGTCTTTGTCATGATCGGTACGAATCTAGAACGTTCCTTTCACAATCTCTTGTTGCAAATTACATTTTTATCACCCGAAATTATAACACATAAAGTTGCAATTTTCCAAACGCAACAAACACGCTCCTCTACCTCCCGACCCATAGTCAAATTATACGTTTACCCCCAGAATCTGGGTGTGACGTCATCAGCCCCGACCAGGGTCTTTGCTTCCCAAGAGCAAAGAGCCTGGGAACGAGGTTGGTCCCATGCAAGCAAAAAATTGTGAAATTTCACGCTCAAAAGCAACTTGGAAAAAGTCACGTGATCGATATCTTCACTAGTGAAGATATGGAAAATATCTCGCTGTGTATTTTTCAGTATCTCACTCTCTACTATATAATATTATAAAATGTGATATAACAAAGCCAGGAAAACTTTGCTAGTGGAATGTTCGCTATATTACACTAAACGTAAGTTAAAACTACAATTGTCTCGAACATTTTTATGTAAATTATGTAAGAGTTAGATACCGAAAACGGAGGCTCTTAGTCAGATACAAACCCGAGGGGCCGTAGGCCCCGAGGGATTTATCTGACTAAGAGCCGACGTTTGAGGTATCTAACTAACTTAGTTCATATTTGTAAGGATTGACCCACAATGAAATTTACTTTATGATATGAATTGTTCTTTAAATGAGTTTGAATTACCATGGTTGTAATAAAAACAAACAGGGCTATTTTGATATGCATCAATTCTCGTGTCGCACTACTGTATACTATCAATGAGAAGTGATTAAATATTCGTTCACCAACCACAATTACGATGAAATATGTTGAAATAGCTCATACAACCGAGAAGAGCTAACGAAGATTTGTACGGGTTTGTCGAAGCAGAGATTCTCAAGTTGTTCTCAACAGGGTTTTATTTGCAGGATAAAAACCAAATGGGAGGTCTTTCATTGAAATTCAAGACCGAGGCGTGCAGCACCGAGGTTGTGGGACGAAATAAGGTTGAACATGCGCATTAAACACGCTTTAATGTGGTTGAGCATGCGTAGTATATCATTTCGCGTCCCACAAGCGAAAGAGCAGATATTACTGTATAAATTCCTTGCACAAGCAAGTTTGATGGTCGGTTTAGCTAGTCCTCGTGCACCGAATGATAAATATTCTACCCAAAGGTAGAGTTTGACGGGCTTTGAGGTATGGTGTCATATCACCGCCAATATTCATGTATATCATGCTTTCGACATTGAAGTTAAATAGGACATTCAGCACCTACGTGCTTTCGACATTGAAGATAAATCTGACATTGAACATGCAGAACATTCAACATATTTTTGACATTGAAGTTAAATAGGACATTCAACACCTACGTGCTTTCGACATTGAAGATAAATCTGGCATTGAACATGCAAAACATTCAACATATTTTCGACATTGAAGTTAAATATGACATTGAACACCCACGTGTTTTTGACATTGAAGTTAAACCGGTGTCACAGGAAATTTGGCCCCCCCGAAAATTTGGCCCCCCCGGGCCAAATTTCCTAGGAAATTTGGGCCCCCCGGGCCATATTTCCTAGGAAATATGGCCCCCTCTTCGGAAATTTGGCCCCCCCCCTTAAAAAATATAGTTTGTTTCAGATCTTTAGGCTCGGAAATCGTGAGGCCTCTACTAAAACAAATTTCTAGAAATTTTTCTCAACATTTATAGTCAGTTTGCGTAATTTTTTGTGTCAAAATTCTCTATTGAATTGCAATACTGACGAGAATCTAGGCCAAGAGCTAAAGTTTAGCGTGCTTTTCGCGTTTGGTTTTGACCAGCTTCATAGAAGACAACGTTAATAAGGCATGTGAACAACATAATAACAACGTTAACATGTACCTAAAGCAATACTTTTTCTTGTAAACAAACGAAGAAAAACACTAAAATCGCAAGTATTGTGTTGCTTGACTGAAATGTA